ACGGTGGCCATTTTCATAAAAGTTACTATAGCTACATTCCCGCGTGCAGGCAGTAAAGGCAGTAACGCGGTCCGCGCACACGGTGTCTTACTTAACCACAGGGCACAGCAATGCAAATACGCGTATTTGAGACGTGTGTGTGTGTGAGTCGTAGGGAACCCACACATAACTCGGCAAACATGGTCATATACGTCCCTATCCATGTGTACTATAGGTAAACCGAGTAAGTTCCTCTTGGTGGTGACTGCATCGCAGTGACAACAGCAGGTGAACATACGTGCACACTGGGCGAGCTGGGAGCACCATCCCTAACCTTCCCCGAGCTCACTCCCCGTAGTTCCTTCGCACCCAAACTCTCACACGCGTGTCGCAGTACGGCTACTGTTACGTGTCACCAGACCCTGCTCTGTGTCACCAACCCATTCCCTGTGTCACCATACGATCATAGAACGCGACCATTACCTTGAACTACCTACCGAGACGTCGTTACCTGTGTCACATCTCGTGACACTTCTCTTGGGATATTTTCCCCTGTGACACTTGTTATATTAGTAAACGTGGACAGTGAGCGTACAGAGCTATGACAGTGCAGATAGATGGTTTCAGTGCGCTACACGTTGGAATACTGCTGTTCTCCTTCGTTGCCAAAGGTAAGTGCAGCTGGGGGCGAATGTGAAGGCGGATGTGTGTGTGTGTGTGTGTGTGTGTGTGTATGTGTGCGTGTGTGTGCGTGTGCTTGTGCGCGCGCGTGTGTGCGTCCGCGTGCATGCGTTACATATGATATATTATCTGATATTATATTCTCAGCACGACCTTCTTTATCAATGTTTCTCATAATCGGGTGAATGCAAGCGGGTTTCTAGGTATATCTGGCACGAACCCAGGTTAAACTTCGAGAAATATTATTCGACAAGTGCTGCATCGTGGCAGTGCTAATCTAAAGTCCGATCTAGTAAGGCTACTGGTCCCACTACGTACCCTAAAACCATGATGTTAACGCAATTATTACATACCAGCGTCACTAGACCACCAGTAGTACTACGGTAATATAGGTTATGTATTTCTTTCTAGAGAAAATAAGTGTGCAATTATTGCCCAAAAGTAGGATACCAGTGTTTCTGCAATAGATACTTCTAAAATGCACGGATTATTGCACAAATCCTCGACACCTGAACCCTTGTGTCAATATTTACATTTTCCGATTTTGAATATGGACAACATCACATCTATCCCAGATTAGATTTGCCTCTATATTAACTTGTTGGCAGGCAACATGCCATTGTAACAGCATTATGATCACCAACAGATTATAGATTTTGCGTGTGCCGTCGTTTAATATCTACTTCACACGTCCAACCGAGAAGAGCAGAAAATGGGCGACAATGAATGTTTGTACACCAAGCAACTTTCACGTTCACTTCGCGTCACCAATAAAAATCGCACCCGGCAGAATTATACGACATAGGATGGGTTACAGTAGCAGCCACGGCTAGCAACTCACCGGATCTACCCGGAATCGTTCGCTCTCGTTGTATCTTTAATTTTTAGAAAATAGGACGTCGTTGCAACACCCGCTTGTAACACAAACGAGCGCCATGACGCAGCCACGACCCAACCACGTCGAAATGCTAACGTCAATACGCGTGTCTTTCGATGTATGACCGTTTTCTTAGAGCCTACGATGACTCAGACGATGACTTAGTATATTTACCGAAATTCAATGGGGCATCGCAAGTTTGCATGGCAACGCGGGGAAGTGCGGCCATTCACGCATGCATACACGCGAGCACGCGAAAATCCTACACCCTATATAATTTCAACGCAGAAAGATATCCCCTCCCCCTTCAATAAACAGCGATAACAAAAGAGTCGGTGGTGTTAGAGAAGGTGGAACTGGAAAGTTGGTAACAGCAATCCACATCATGAATTTTGCTGAATTGTGCAATAATATATCACAGTTTCACATATACTTACAGTAGCAATGCATAAGACGTGTTTTGTGTGTGGATATTTTACCATAAATCATTGAATTTGTTACGATGGGTAAACAAGGTAGACAGTGTAGACGCAGGCGTACCACGGCCACGATGGCGCTGACACCAGAGCTTGCCACACTGACCTCTGAGTTCCATATTTGATTCATAAACTCGCGACGGCGTAAACAACTTCTTAATAACTAATAAGCCGGAAAAGAAGATATCATGTCACCATAAATGAATGTGGCGAACTCTTTTACAACTGCAACTGGATTGCCCGTGGGGCTGTGGAGGTGGGATGTTGACCACATACGATGCTACAACTACTAAGAAAAATGAAAATCAGCTGAATTATTTTCGAATCGTCACATACAAGAGATAAACGATTACATCAGCAGTTCGTATTTTTCCCCACCACAAATCTAACGCTTGCGATCTCCTGCAGGGACGCTGGGACAGTACTGGATCAACACCGCACCGAGCGACATGGAGGCAGTCATAGGCAACGAGGCGATCCTCCAGTGTAGGATCAACCCGCCAAGCTCCAACTACATCGTGAGTGAGCAAATGCGTTCGGTTTTCATTACGGTCGCAGTAACCGGCCACACGCGTCATCCTGTAAACTCACCACAATGCGAGCCGAATTGGTGCGTGGGTCTAGTTGACCGGTGCATTTTAAAATCAGGAAATAGCGGAAAGGCGGTTGTGCGAAAATAGGGGACGCCATACGCGTTACAATCAATCGAGGCAGCAGCATATATAAAGTTATATATGCATATACATATATATATATATATATTATTATAACGCCTTGAAACCAATATCGCCGGTGGCAGTACCCGCACAAAACACTCGAGCTAAATGGCTAACTCATAACAAATTTATTACAAACCGAGGAAGCGGCGTAAAAATATCGCTAATATACCCGTCACGCCACAAACCATGGTATAACCAGCATGACTGCGCCGCACAGCAGCACACACCACACGACACAGCCACACACACACACCACACACCACACACACCACATCACAACACACCGAACCACATGCGCGCGCAGCGAACACACAACGCCACGCGCGATCGCACGCACACACCACCACACAGCACACCACACGCACACACACACACACACACATCTGACACACCACACACACGCGCGCCGCGCGCGCGCTACGGGCACACACACAGACACTCAGAAACGCACGCACGCACTGACCACACTGCACGCACGCACACACACACTCACACAACACACCGACCACACAGACCCGCACACACACACACACACACCACTCACACAACACTCACACGCAACGCACGCACGGACACAACAGACACTGCAGCCTCGCACACTCACTCAGACGCACGCACGCACACAAACACACAACACAACCACCGTCAGCAACACACACACACACACACACACACACACACGCCTCACACACACACACACCACTCACACACACACACATCACACAACACGAACAACATGGATCACACTCACACATACGAGCGCGCGCAACACCCACGGCATGCAATGCATGCAACGCACGCACGCACGCACGCACGCACGCACACACACACACACACTGACACACACTCACTTGCACACTCACTCACACGCACGCACGCACGCACGCACGCACACACACAAACACACACACGCGCGCGCGCCCACATACACGTAGTATAACACGCACATGTACGTATCTACGGGACAGCGGACGCTGCTAGCCCGCTTGATGGCGCCACGTGACACTGACGTTGCCGCGTGTCTGTCCAGATCACTGATCTCTATATACGGCTACATAAAACAGTCTAATATTAGTGTAGAGCCACTACATTAGTATATAGAGACCAGTGAACTATAATATAGGTACACGCGTGCCGTGGTTTGCTGTACACGTAGATACTGCTGTACACTGATCTTTATATAGTAACTACTAACTACTATGTATATACATGGCTACATAAAACAGTCCAATGTTAGTGTAGTGACCCTGCCCCCCAACTAGGGCTACTACATTAGTTTATAGAGACCAGCGATTTAGGTTCCCACGTGCCGTGATCTGTTGTACAGTTAGATACTGCTGTACACTGATCTCTATATATACTAACTACATAAAACAGTCTAATATAACTAGTGTAGTAACCCTAGGGTCGCCCCCACCCACATAGGGCCACTACATTAGCATACGGAGACCAGTGATATAGGCTCACACGTGCCGTGGACTGCTCTGCTATATATATATACAGGTGAAGTGGTACAGGAACGTGAAGCCGCTACCCACCGACCTGCCGCACGCTCTCTACCAGAGGTACGCGTGGAGCGACGCGAGCCACCAAGGCGGCAACTTCGACCTCGTCATCGGCAACGTGACCATGCAGGACGAGGCGGACTGGTCGTGTTCGGTCGACACGGGGGAAGCAGCGGACAGGTCCGACCCCGCACACCTGTCCGTCGCCGGTAGGTGGCATAACACGTAAATTACACCTAGTAACGTACACGTACTAACACGTACACGTAGTAGCGTAGTAAAGGGAGATAATCTAACACGTAGCATACACTTAGTAACGTACACGCCCGTACACGTCCGTACACGTCCGTACACGTACACATACTGACTAGTAACGTAGTAACGGTCGATAGCCTAAAGGGGGACTTATGTCGGGTTTGCGAGCCGACTCGACTTGAAACAACTGGATTTCGAGCAACTGCAAGCGATCGGCAGCGACTAGTTGCGTCCAGTTGCCCATTATTCTCTTCTGAGCAACTAGTGGCGGACAAGCACTGCAGTCGCAGTGAATTGCAGCCAGTTGCTTCCAGTCGAGTCGGCTCGCAAGCCCGACATAAGCCCCCCTTAACACCTAGCTGAACAGAGTAGGTAGCAGAATAGCCACACGAGGTTCTACGATTGTTTCACGTCGTAGGAGCCACGTAGTGAGAAGCAAGAAGGTAACTTGTGCCTAGCAGCAGACCTGCTACGCTGTTAGACTATTATTCGTATCTAGTGAGGCACGATGGTGATTTGTTAGCTAATGCGGTTTACAAATTGATTTTATCAGCCTGGAGTGATTAACAGACAGCTCTAGCCAGTCACTGTTACGACAGGGCGTTCTAAAAACGATGCACATCAACAAAGTGCGAGTAAATCCAATAATTTTGAATGCACGCGTGAAAAACACGCACGGACAGGTCTGACATGACTGACCGCACCGCGATATCCACGAGGGACCTGGCTATCTCGGCCATGGTGTTACGGCGTGTTTAATTCTGGCATGACCGACTGCGCTGCAACATCCAAAAAGGGGTGTGGTCATCTCGGTCATTTATCATGCCATGATGTTACGGCGTGTTCAATCACAGTTTTCTATGCTATAACAGCATAAATTCTTGGTGTTTTTCAAGTCGGTGTAATCAGTAATATATCCGCTATTAGGTGAGACTATATTTCGTTATATTTTTTTCAGATGGGTACGTTTGTGAGCAATGATTACTAAATCCTTTAACATCAAACATCTTGTGCTTTCAGTGCCACCGAGTGTACTCTTCATGGCTTTCTTCACAGAAGGAAATCTGCTGGGAAACGTGACAGTGCACGTTAACGACACAGTCAATCTCACCTGCACTGCTAAGAACGTCAAACCCGCACCAGACTTCTTGTTTTACAAATACAGGCCCGCGCACAACGTACGTAAAACCATGTACAGTCTTTACATAGTGGACCCTCAAGGTAAATGCTAAAAGTGTCTTATATAGACTATGTAAAACAACGCAAGTCTTTACATAGTGGACCCTCAAGGTAAATGCTAAAAGTGTCTTATATAGACAGGTGTCTGCTTTATAGAGTATATATACAGTCGAACCTGAGTTAGCAGACACCACTCTAGAACAAACACCTGTTGATGTTTTTATTGAGTCGCAGATGCAGTGAAACCACCTCTATACAACGAACACCTGTCTATAAGCAACACATTCAGGGGTTTCCCTTGAATGACCCTAATACGCAGGTTTGACTGCATCGTTGCAATGTTAACAGCTCTATTGGCTGGTTATAGTCACATTGCATGTAAAACACAAATTCAGGGTGCGAAATTAACGGGAGTCCGGAGTCAAATACTCCCTGATTTACTGTCGGACTCCCTGATTTGACATATGCAGGAGTCCGTGTGACTCCCTGACAATTCTGCCATACTAACTAGTTAGTTCCGGAGCATGGCCTCGCGGAATTACTGTATTTTTTCAGCAGATGTCCAAAGAAAATTTGGCAGACGTGCAACCGCATGAGTCTTCAAAATAAGCACATGCGTTATTGTTAATATCTTTAGTTTTGAACTTCAGACTGCGGACTCCCTCATTTTGCCGCGGACTCCCTCTTTTTGAGGGCAAGGGAGTCCATTGGACTCCCTTGTTCAAAAGTTAATTTCTACCCCTGCCAATTCCATTATTATATGACTACTAAACAGAATACCGTTTATGATGGGGTAGGAGGTGGAGACATGATAGAAATGCACAAATGCGAAAAACAGGTTCGCTCGCGATCTAACAGGAACCACACAAACATTAGGTATCGCAAAGCAGGAGTCATAAAGCTGCATCGCTCGCATTATGACTCCGTCTACAATCTTTGCACAAGATTCGAACAAATACTTCCGGCCAGCAAAATGCGATGCCGACGCGCGCACTCCGTGGCAGATGTTCCGATGAGTTTCGACTGGAGACACGGCTAACCTAGCAATAATCGCTGTGTGTCTACAATGCAACACCTACTGAGTTACACTTGTTTGCCCGTAACGCCATCGCAAATTGATTGTGCGACAAAAGCGCTGAAATCGAGAGGAATCTGAACTATGTACGATGTTTACCGTCACCAGGAGACCCGCGTGTAAATATTAGAGAATCAATAATAGGTCGATAATCCCGCCGACAGTGTCCACATCACCATGTATTTAACGACCTTATTTTACACTGGCCACCCCCTCCTCCGATCCCTGCTCTCCTTCTCCCGACCTCACTCACTGCTTCTCCACCTCCACCTACCTCTCCTTACCTTCTTTCCTTCTCGCTTTCACTTCCTCTCCCTCTCTATTTTTCTCTTTCTTTCTCGCTCTCGCACTCTATATCTCTCAGACACTCTCGCTCTTCCTATCCTATTTCTCTCCTTCCCCTGCTCTTGCTCTCTCTTCCTCCCCCTCTATATCTCCCAGTGTATCTCCCTCCCACACTCTCTCCATTTCTTCCTTTCTCCTCTCTATCGCCCA